TTGATATCGAGATGATCAATTTGAAGATATTTGAGCATCAAAACAACCTCTTCTAATGAAATTTTTGAAGTAGGGTCAAATTTGATTGTTTAGAGCCTCGATTTGAATAATCTTTTCCCATATAAATGGATATTTGTATTATAATTAGGTGGTGCTTTTTATGAATACGTCACCACCTTATTTTTAAAAACAAAGCTTTATTTCTACTCCCTCTCTCTTTTTCTATCTCTAACTTTTTGTTTTTTTTTCGACATTTTCCACCAACCGGTAATTGACTTCATCACACGCACACAAAAATGTTTGAAGCTAACGATTTACTGTGATAGAAAAATAAAAGGGACTGAATATATGAGACCATTCGTCTTTGTTACAAGAAGTCGCAGGCACTACTAACCATTAATTATCAAATTGGATGGTACGGATTGCGAATTTGTTTTTTAACGCTAAATATAGTGAATGGCAAAAAACAAATTTCTATCATCGAAGTTGGACTTTCGCTCGGTGTCCCTCCAAAGGCCATTCCCCTAACCCTATAATGGTTTTCACTAGTTTTCACTCATAATCATAATGGAAAAAGTTTATATAGAGTCGAGGTTCTAAACAATTAAATTAGAGCCCACCTCAAAAATTTCATTAGAAGGAGTTGTTTTGATGTCCAAATATCCTCAAATTGATCATCTCGACATCAAGATGCCTGGACATGAGAAAAAAATAGATTTCAAGTTTTGGAAATAGTGCATCTTGTAACGCATGTTTTGGACTGTCAATTTTCAAAATTTTCAACTTTCCATTGATCTACTCGATCTTCACTATTTTTGAAGCCTTAAATTTTATAATTAAAGATAAAAATATATTTTAAGGCTATCATATAAATTTCCAATATTGAAACCACATTTCTCAATACTACTTGACGATGCACTTTGCATTGTTTAGAGCATTGGCTCTATACAAACTACACCTGATCATAATTGGGTAACCCACTTTTAAAAATATTTATGTAAATACTTGCTACAGTCTTGAGCGTGCATAGGGTCCTCCGGAAATCCAGTCAACAAAGAAAATATTGAAAGCCAGATAGACGCGTCCGATTCTCATATACTTGACTTCAAAATCAACCCGCGAGACGAAGTAACTCGACTGAGCTCAACGGGACTTGTGAAGTTTCCCACATATCAAACGAAATTCTTTTTTGATCCTTGAATAATTACACATTTCGCGTTGAAGTGTTAGTCATTTCGTAATATATTCTCTCGTCACCACTAAAGACTTTTGACATTGGACTAATTTCCTTTTTCTTTTTTTTTTAATTTACATGTTACATATTTCCCCCTTAGAAGGAACCAGGAATCAGATTCTTTGCACTGCGTGAATTGATTATTCATCCCAATAGAAAGCTTCAAAAGTGGTAGCCTCCACCATGACTTTCATTGTTATTAAATTGATGAAAAAGGATGGGTAGAAAGCAAAAGTAAATAAGGAGGGGATTTCGTCACTCCCATGCTTTCGGCATTTCTGTGTGTGGTAGATTTTTGGCTTACTAAAACCTTCACCAAATAGCCTTTACTTTAAAGAAATAAAAGGCAAAAGGGAAATCAATCTCCAACTTTCATAAACATATCTCTCTCTCATATTCAACAATGCAAGTGCTCATTTGCTGACACACTTTAAGACTGGCAAGTACATAGTCAACATATCCCTCTGAGAATTTTGTAAGACAGTTCTCAAAGTGCTCAGTTTTTTAGATTTATTCTGTGTTTTAAGATCAGGTGATTTTTTATTCATATCGCCGATTTGAACGTAGAATCGGGCGGGACCATACTGGTTATGAATGGGTAAGGGGGGTTCTCGATCAGTGCACCTTATAATCCCATCTTTATTTTTTCTTTTCCTTTTTTTTTTATTTTTTTACCTTCTAATTTATCTAATGTTGTCCTTCAGCCCACCTAAAACCCCATTCTACAAACTATGTTTTAAATTTTATTTTATTTTGATTTTTTTTTTTTTTCTAGATCACCAATCATTAGGTTGATTCAAAATTACGGATCTAGCCATCCAGATCGGGATGCACGATCCATCCCACCAATTGATTTTTTACACACTGGGGGATGGGCAATCAGTCCCATCAATCCGTTTTTTTTAACAGTGGTTTTATTATTGGGAAATGTAATTAAGTAAATATAACTCAAAATTACTAGGGTGTGGTTTGTATAGAGCCTAGGCTCTAAGCAATCAAATTAGAGCCGACCTTTAAATAGTGTTGAGAAAGTGGTTTTAATATTGAAAATTTTTTTGATAGCCTTAAAATACATTTTTATATTTATTTATAAAATTTAAAGATTAAAAAATAATGTAGATCTACATATCTATGAAAACTTGAAAATTGACAGTCCAAAAATACATCATAAAATACACTATTTCCAAAACTTGATATCCATTTTTTTCTCATGCCCCTGCATCTTGATGTCGAGATGATGAATTTGAAGATATTTCGGCATGAAAACAACCTCTTCTAATGCAATTTTTGAGGTAGGCTCAAATTTGATTGTTTAGAGCCTCGGCTCCATATAAACTTTTCCCAAATTACTATGCCCTGTGTGAGAGAGGTAGAGAAATAAACGAAGGT